ATTGATATTTACTCGAATTATTATCTTGTTATTTAGCTTCAGATTTTCGATTTCTTTAATAATAATATTTGTAGTCGTAACTTTTGTATATTCGACTATAATTTGTTTGATAATATAAAATCATTCTTTTCCTTTTAATTGTATTCTTATTTGTTGGAATCATTTTTTATAACTGGTTTGGTTGAATTTAGGAATTCAAAGGGATTCTTTTTCTTTATTCATTTTATAAATAGATTTCAGTAGTAATCGAAAGATGATTGTTTGTTAATGATTATATAATTTGTTTTATTTTGCTAATAATGAGAATTGATTTATACAATTGTTTTGCTTTGCTAACGTATATAATATACTACTATATAAAGTGTTTTGCTTTATAGTTTTTCAGTTTTTTGATAATAATAATACAATTCCTTTTTGCTTTTGCTTATTGGTATTGCGATTTATCTTTTGCTATATAATCTTTCTTTTGATAGTAATACAATTCTTTCACTTTATCTAATTATCAATTGCTTTTATAAACCGGAACTTATAATCTATTAAAAAGTAATACTCTATGATACAATGGAAATAATAGTATTATTAATTATTTTAAAAAAGATTGAATTAATGAAGTTAAGCTTTTTTTTTCACCCAAGGTTATCACTTTAGTGGGGAAACCATTTAGCGTCTCTAACAGTCACGTGCTCACATACACGTGACTCCCTTTAACCTCAACTTCCAACAGATACTGAACTTTTATAAAGAGATTAGATATTACAACTATAGCTGAGGGCTAGTGTATTGTTACAAGAGTTAATGAGGCTTTAAGGTTTTGATAATCAAGGTTTTTGATTATAGAAGGGATGTTAGAATGTATACTAGTGTACCTTATATCATATGCTATACCCTAGTATTGTGTCCTTGCTAGTACTGATGCTAACCTTAGCGTATATATTAGTTAACTTATCAATACAATTGTAATGTAGAGTATATATAATAATAATACATAGTTACACTTCCAACAATATTATATTATATTGAAAATACCTCCTAGTATTCACATATTCGTTCGTATACTACCTACCTACGCCTATACAACATCTCCCTCTACATCACTTCACTTCACTTCCCTATCCCTTCCCTTCACTTGCCTATCACTTCCCTTCTCTTCCCTCTATCTCCCTCTACATCACTTCCCTATCACTTCCCCTTCCCTTCCCTTCACTCCCCTATCTCTTCCCCTCTATATCCCTATCACTTCCCTTCCCTTCCCTTCCCTATCACTTCCCTCCCCTTCCCTATCACATCGAGCTTTATTTATTACCCCACCCCACCAACTACCTACCTACGCGAGTACTCCTCCCTCTCCTCTCCTCTCCTCTCATTTATGAAAAAGTAATATCAAAGATCTTACAGTACTTACTTATAAAATGTGATGAATTGTCTTTTGATAGTATAGCAATAGCAATTGTGATATAAACTTATTGCTTCGTACCATCCACAACACAATACACTATATAAAACAAGTATCTACTCTACGCCATCCATTCCATTCCATTCCATTCCATTCCATTCCATTCCATTCCAAGCCATGCCATGCCATACCAAGATATTTATAAAATACATTCTGGTCTGTCTGTAGCTCATGATTTTCCTACTCCCAAAAACGCCATCCATACATCTTTCATGCATACAAGTAAAACCGAGTATATCAAGTATCAGCCCATCTCCTCAACATACCATCTTCACCTCAACCCATCAATCATATCTAAAAGTACTGTAATTCACCATTCCCACTTCCATTTCCATTTCCACCACTCTTTCCACCATTACCATTACCATTACTCTTCTGAAGTTGCGCCTGATATTGTTGGAATTGAGCTTGTACCAATTGCTGTGGAGTTTGATAATTTTTCTGCAGCGGCGGGAAATCTTCGTATGCGACTGCTGGATTATAGACTGGTGGTGTATTGTTTGAGCTTCGTTCATTGACATCATCCAAAGATCGATAACCATATCCGCGACCTTTTCCTTTGCCACCTCCACCTCCTCCTCCTCCTCCTCCTCCATTATTATTACCCCCGCGATTGTTACGACCATAACCACCACGTTGTGGTCCATTTCCACGGTGATTGACTCGACCACCACGACCACCATAATTATTTTCTTGACCTCTTTTACTCGGTGCGGGATTGTGACCACCATATGATCCACTTGGCTGCCTAGGCTCAGGGGAATGTTTGCGCTTGAATGATTTATTGGGGAACAAACTCTCATACTCGTTCTCTGAAAGGTCTTCCCTCTCTATCCTAAGAAGGACTTTCTCACCAACAGTACTCTCAAAGACAAATGCCTTCTCTGGCGGAACAGGCTGCCAATTTTGAATCTTACCTGCATCAATTGGTCGTGCTCCTTTGCGTACTGCGAGAACGACAACAGGAAGAGGATTTTCGGTATAGAATTTCTTTGACTCTGGCACAGGTCGAACACGAGCGGCCCAAATCTTGTTCTCAAAGACAGCTGTTCCTGTGACTTCCCAGGTAGTCTTACTACCCATTCCACCAACCTTTTGCAAGATACTTTCTGGACATGGTCGGGGAGTAATGAGAACATTGTTCGCTAAAAATTTGGCTTCAGTATCTGGCATATTTGAAGGAAGCTGAGCTAAAGTCAGCAGCTTCTGAGTGTCAGTGTTATTGATCAAATATCCAGTATAGAAAACAGTCTTCTTAATCTGAAGTCTCTCCCCAATTTTCCCTGCATTGATAGCAGCATTGTGATCATTGATCAAACGTTGTACCTCTGCAGCTTCCATAACAGGATCAAGTAACGTGGCACCATCCGCAACTTGAATTACTTCAGCGGTAATAGCAGATCGGGTTGGAATACCACCAGAGCCATTTTGACGTTTGTTGTAATCTGTAAAGAAATCCCTGAATGCCTTGACATGTCTAACCCTGTCCTCGTAGATTTTGATTTCCTCAGCACCTTTGTATGTCTCCATTAAAGTTTCCAAGAAACATTGCTTGAAGTTCATCGTACTACCGAACTTCTCATTTTTGGGACCTGCTGCTGGTTTTAAGACAACCATATCCACATCGAGACCTCTGCTAGCAATCATTTTTTTCAGTAACTCTGAAAATCCAGCCTCGGATCGACCAGTCAAAAGAATTGAAAGAGCATCTTTCTGCTGCATACTCAACTCAATGAGTTCAACAATTCGCTCATTCCACCAACCTTCCCAAGCTCGAGGTTCTTCTTTCTCAACACCTTCACCGGTAGCTGCAAGAATTCTCGAGTCGTGCCACCAACCTCCAGTTGCAAATGTATCTTGAGTCTGTAGAAAACCTATAGTTGGGCCATTCCATAATTTCGGATTGGGAAGAGGACTGTTGAATACTATGAAGAAAAGTTAGCATATATTTGAGTGGGATGAAGAACGAAGAAGGATCGTCCTCCTAGACAGAGCGTAATTCTCCAGGATAAAGCATTGTACGTACGAGTATTATCAAAGTCATAAACATGAAGAGCCTTAATTTTATCAACCGCTACCAACAATACAATTAGCAATGCATCCATTCCCACCTCCAGATCCCCTAACATCCAAGATATCTTACAAGGCAATTGTTTATCCGCAACAGACCAGCGATTCATAGCCGTGATAGTATATTGATTCGAATTCGATGCCCCATTTGGAGTGTGCGCCATGATGAGGCGTGAGAGGGCACGAATAATGTGCAAGTTTGTTGAAGAGGAAAGTCTCAGTGTCTTGAAGGATCCGGAAAAGGTTGGATGGTTTCTTGCGCACACAATTGTTGCTGTCTTCACAGATGCGATTGATGATTCGATATCACTATCAAATATCCTCAAACCTCTCTCGAAGTGCGTGCTCTAAAAATACCGGCTGAGCTATACTTCTTTAAGTTTAGAGCATCAGTAGCGTCTAGATTCGAGAAGCCCAATCGCTTCAACGAAAATCATCCTTCTATCTCTCTAGACCTAGAAACCTCTCAGAGAATTTGTTACAAATCTACAACAATAAATTATGGCCTCTATAATCCAGAGAATCAATACTGCCGGATTCCTAAAGATAATCAAAGAAAGAGTACATTTACAATGTCACGTCAAACCCAATTCGAGCGCACGAAAAGCAGGCATTAAACCCTTTTCCGACACATCTTCATCTCTTGAAGTTTGTGTTACGTCACCAGCACGGGACAACGAGGCAAACGAAGGAGTCATTGAAGTTTTGAGTAGTGTATGGTTGTAATTTAAATTATTAGTATTTTATACAATGATTTCACATTTGACGTAGAAACCTTCCTGACAGCATCTCTATTTAGTTGTTGAAATGTCCAAAAAGCGATCTAGAAGTTATTCGTGGGAAGAAATCGAGGGACAAGACGATTGCGGTTGAGGGCTTAGGTGATTTGAAGAATGATCCCAGGGGTGTTCTTGAGAGGGTTAGAGAACGCTTGCTGGTATCGATCAAAGATGCGAATTGTCGATCTATTATGGGCAATTGAGATTGTTTTATGATCGATATCCGCGCTGTTAATGGTATGATGAGCTTCCAATCAGCATTTCCCATATAGTCTCTTTTGACAGCCAACGGAATTTCGTAGAGCCCTGCCATCCATGTTTATCAGAAACTTCGTCTGGAGAAAGAGTTGTAGTTATCGGCGCAACGCATTTTCTCTTGTGAGAACAAGTATCACGTTTTCGTTGATTAGTCAGGAGATGTTGGCCATGTTGATAGAAAACGTTAGTCGGGGTATTGCGAATGCCGAATGCGGTAGCAATGGCAAGTATGCCGACCGGTGGTAAGATTAACACCAGCTTTGTACGCCGACAGAAGACAGTACTCCCCTGTTGGACCCCGTTGAAGTCTTCAAGTCAATCATTCGTGTCATGTCCGTCATCCAGTAGGCCAAGAAAGGATCAATCAATCAATCAATCAAAAAGTGGTCTTCGCGGTCCCTGCTGAGATAGCTCCTACATTATATGAACTCGGGTCCTCGATCATTTAAACCAAGGCGTCGAAGTATTCGCAGATGGCGACAGTCAAGAAAATAGTGTAAGAACTGCTTCTCGAATGTGAGAGTGACTTGAGCTTAGCAAGTCACAATGTACCACGTCGTGACAGTAGAGGTAGAAATTAATATTCAGAAAAAGGAACTTAGATGTAGTTGCTTTTGAGAGGCTTCGAAGGAATGAGAACTAGATAACTGAAATGAACTTGTAAGAAGTAGAAGGCACTCGCAATTATTAATGGATGTCCCCAAAGTGGAAATTTGGAGGATATAGTAGCAATAACATCGCAGGGATATTCATACATCTATGTGTCGCACAACACATCTGTAATGATTACCTGAAGAACAAGGTTCCACCAAAAGCAGAAACACTATGATTTCCTGTTCCTGTATAGTTTGTACCCTCTACACTGTCATCCATCAACCAACGATGAGGGAGGACAATATGTGTATGTTTGCTGAACTTTGGAAAGGCTCATCACTGGATGTTTGAGAAATGAATACAAGTAGGATTCTAGCCAATAATATCAACTCGTATCGGCTTTGGGTGCTTAACATTGCTTTCTAGAATCTGCATACATACCTTCATCTTCCGAGAATCAAAAGGAAGTAAAAGATGCCGATAAGTTGAAGAAGACATCTCTTCCGTCAGTGGCGCGAATTAACAGGTTCAAACAGTTGTACATTTCTGAATAATCCAGAAAAGCGTGTAAGTAATACAATCTTCAAGTAGCTGTATCGGTGGGTATTGCAGTATGTAAAACATTCATAGCCAAAAAATAGGGTTTTTAGGGTCCTGTAAGCAAGCCACAAAATCGTGATAGAGGATCGGAGGATCAGTGGATTCTTTATGCATCAGTGATCTGATATGCTCGCCGGCTAAGTATGGAGACACCAAAGAAGATCCTTTCTTCGGATGTTCTTCTGGATAAAAACGATTAGACCTGTCGGTGGATAGATATCCTGTCTGATTTCCGATGTAGTAGTGAAGACTAGAAACTTTGAAGTCTTAAGCATATATTCGTTACTGGTACCTGTAAGGTTAGCACTCAAAACTTAGGTAAATTTTCACGGCTTTTTATCCTAGCTCATTCGTATTGTGCATACAAATCACAACACATCTTCCTTCTTAGCTCCCTTCTCCCCTTCTCCTCAAAAAGTCAAATAAGCTGCACAATTGTACGTATAAAGGGTCATTAGTTGCATTGGTGCATTGGTGCTGTAACGATCAGCAACTCGGCTGTGGCTGTCTGTCACTGCGTCATATTCCCAGCTCTTTGGTACCTCAGCCAGTGAATGAGTGGTAAACAAAGGTTTCTGAACCCGTCAGAACCGAGGTGAACGAGTCAAACATAGATATTTTGTTTAAATTATTATTTTGATGAGATAAAGGGGGGGAGACTTTCGGATAAAGAATTCATAAAAGCTGGTCCGTAATAGAAGTATCTTTTGGGATATATTGAAATGTTCTTTCATGCAATTAATTGTATCGGTACGTACTCGTACTCGTTGCCAGTGAAAGGATTTCTATCAGAATTTGATGACGATCATTGCCAGACATTGAAGTTAAGTGCACATGTTTGGTTCGAGGTACACCAACAACAAGGATTATGATTGTGGCAGACAAGGATGGCGGGTAATTATCTGATTATGGACTGTCTCTATAAATCGTAGATGCTCGCTTACTGATATTGTGCTTTTGGTATATGCCTTCGGTACGAACCCCTTCATCGAGCTTCATATCATGATTTAATTCTCATAGGAAGAGTTTTCAATGTCAACAATACATCAAAGTGGATATTGGCGGTTAGATCATCAAGTAGAAAGCATCAGCGATCTTAATAGTACTGTAATAAGATCTTTCAATAGGTAGTTCGTATTGTTACTTGAACATCTATCCTATATAGTATAAACAATTCAACTTGATGAAGTTCCAACATCACACTCAGGGTTCAAGCTATTATGATTAACCTATTAACAACATTAAAAATATACAATCTTAACAATAAATGGTCCCTCCATTAAAGTTGCTTCTTGCCCTCGTTTTTGATAGCTTTTGTCTTTTTATTGTGGGTTACTTGAAAAGTCATCCCGTCCACTGATCTTCAGGGTTCATGGATACTATTCATCTGCGAATAAGAATGTGTATAGCACCGAGTGTTGATAATGATTAGTATATAGAACATGTTGGTAAATAACTTCTAACACACCCCTCAAAGTATCCATAATCAACCAGATTGGTATTAGCAAATCCAATATAGGTAAAGTCTTCTTTTTAAGCAAAGCTAATAGAAGCACTATTTACCTTAATGCTTGATCACATTTTGAGTAGATTGATTTTTAGAGGGCTAATAGCATGTCCCCATTGTAGATAGATGAAACAATTCTCATTATTTAACCATTTAGCACCCTTCTTCATCTCACCTCGCACTAACACTACATCCACCTTGCAAATGTCATACCCAGTTTGAAGAGTGAAGAAACAGCCGCCCCCCAGCCCAGACACACGCATCAAACCTTCTCTCTCCCTCTTCTTTTCCTCACTTGTTCCCTCGAGTTCTAGATCTTGGACCATCTCATAGACCACCAGCCAGACCTTCTTCAAACCTTGAATCTTCCCGTTCTAGATTTGTATCCCTTCATTCTCCTGTAAGTTCGTTATCCGATATCGATATGTACACCTCCCCCTTCCCGCCTTCTTCTGCCCGCTCCCCACAGGAATTATGATTGATTGACATTCTTATCATCATCAAATCTCGTTTCTTAAATAATCCTCCGAGATTTTCGAAATGACTTCCCGTTAACCGTGTATTCGTTATCCAGGAACTACAGTTAGTTAATAATAAGGCAACTATTTTTTTCTTCGACCGACAGCCCGGCCCGTGCATCTGCAAAAGGTTTATTGTACTACCAAGTACCTTTTTATTATCATCGACCTCTCTTTTTGTTCCCGCTCATCTATATAGAAGTTGTCCTCGACAACATCGTCGACATATTAGGTCATTAGGGGGGAGGGAATAATATCTTTTTTTGATATTCCTGTCATCGGACAGGTTCCCGGAACATGATGGAGAAAGGTGGAGGAGATATGGCTGGACCTTCCGCCAACAACTCCAGCGACTTTGTAAGTATTGTACTATTTGTACCTTTTCGCGACTTGACGGTACAAATGTCGAAATGCTTCCATTCACTAACATATTCTTACAGGTCCGGAAATTATATAAGTGAGAGAATGATTCTACAGATGTCCTGATTGGACGGTTGTTTATGCGACAAGCCGCTGATCTGCCAAACCTTTAGAATGCTCGAAGACCCCTCATATGAATCTATAGTACGGTGGGGTGAAGGAGGAGAGAGTTTCGTGGTTCTTGAAGTATGTATGCTGCCAGCGTTGGCAATCGTATTTTGTTTATTGTTAACATTAAAGCTATAGAACGAGAAGTTTACCAAACAAATCCTCCCGAAGCACTTTAAGCATAGCAATTTTGCTAGTTTTGTTAGACAACTCAACAAATATGATTTCCACAAGGTCCGACAAAATAATGAGGATAATACACAATCACCGTATGGGCAAAATGTGCGTGGAAATTCTAGATGTACAAGATCGTACACTAATTTGACTTTCAGGCTTGGGAATTCAAACATCCCGAATTTCAAGCGAATAAGAAAGATTCACTAGATAATATCAGACGAAAAGCGCCAGCTCCGAGGAAGGCTGCTCAGAGTATTGAAGAGACGTACCCGGCCATTGCTCAACAGCAAATGGACCTCTTTACTACCCAGCTCGTGGCCACTCAACAACAACTACAGGGTCTATCTCGCAGTTACCAGGATCTAACACAGCTCAATTTGATGTTAATACAACAGGTTGTTGATGGCCAAAAGTTTGCCAAAAACCACGAAGCAGTCATGCGTAGCCTGGTCGGATATCTACTCAGCGACACGCAACGACAAAATGGTCGGGCTGTAGGGCTTTCGAATGGTACTGCGCCCAGCATGCTTGGTCGACCAACGGGCGATATTCATCCGTCGACCCCATTACTACAAGCTCAGAACCTTCTTGGGCAACTCTCGGCCGAGAATTATCCCAGTAAGGAATTAGAACAAGTTATTCACGATTATCGTTTACGAACAGATTACACGACTCCCCCGAACGATCCAGGAGGTCTTATTTCAATGCCCCCAATCTCAGAGTCTTTAACTGCTCCAGCAGGCTATTCTGCGGACAAATCAGACATAGATAATCTGGTTTATCCTGTTGGTGCTATAGTTGGCATTGATCCCATCGATCAACAGCATGTCAACAATATTCCATATGCACTCCCTCCTCCAGGATCAATGCCGCGGGACAGCATGCCCCCAGCCGAATTGATGCCTCAACCTTCACGTACGCCCGGTCCACGTAAGGGAGGCTCGGTTTCGATTTGGGGTGATCGAAAGCCTAGGATATTACTGGTTGAGGATGATCAGGTGTGCGCAAGAATTGGAACTAAATTCCTAGAATCTTTTGAGTGTGGAGTTGATATAGCTGTGAGTACCAGTTCGCGCTTGTGGAGCCAATTATACGTTTTAAGCTTACATTCCAACAGCGTGATGGCCTCGAGGCAGTAAGTAAAATCAACCTCGGTGAGGAGAATCACTTTGATCTTATCTTGATGGATATCATTATGCCTCACCTTGATGGAGTTTCTGCGACTGTCTGCATACGAGAAATGCGTGCAAACCTTCCTATCATTGCAATGACATCAAACATTCGAACTGATGACATCGAAATGTACTTCCGTTATGGTTAGTTATATTACACAAACACTCAAATATTTGTGCTAATATTGACTCAATTTAGGTATGAATGACGTCTTGCCAAAACCTTTCACGAAAGAGGGTATGATGAAAGCACTTGAGAAACACTTGGGCCATTTTAGAAAGAAAGCGCCTACGATTGGTGATTTCTCCAGCCCGAGACAAATGTCACATCCGGGAGGGTTTATTACACCAGCCCCATCGCACCCGCCATTAGGGTTGAACATGGGCCAGTTGACCGCGGCCCAATCGATAGTAGACGATGCAGCTGCTGGAAAGTCACCTCAAACAGCCACATCTTGGCAGTCGCCGATTCAATTGCCAGGAGGATCTCCTGTTGTGACCTCGGCTCCTGGTAGTTATATGCAGCCTACCATGCAACCTAATGGCATGAGGGACCCATCTTATTCTGTGACCCCGACTCATCCTCATCCTCAATCTAATTTTCCTCAGCCTCCTTCGGGCCTAGGTAATCAAAGACCTCCGCATAGGAGAGGTATATCCGAAATGAGTGGTGCCAGTACGCCAGATGGCAATACTGATCAAAAACGTCAAAGAATGTATGCTCCGCCTGGAAACTTCTAGCAAGGATGAAATATTTTCTGGGTCACCACCATTGTTCCACCAAAGGCGACGCAATGTTTCTGCTAAATTCGGTAATCCATCAACCGAAAACAGGTTAACTGAAGAGGTCCTCAAAAGCCTCTTTCAGTCCCGCGATACTCTCCTCATATCCTACCTGGCGGATCAATTCTCACATGTCCTGCACACCCTACCGTCTGTATATCCTCAATTGATCCTCAATTTGTATATTTTCGGTCCCTGGCTTAGATTTGAAAGCCTGATTCGTTACAGGACAAACGTCCCTTTTGGACATCATAAGCTCAAACAGTAGCTTCCCAAATATTCTTTCGCATAGCAGGAGAGTCTGGCGAGAACGACCCGGCGAGCCATGAAGGTATCTCGATTTCAAATGATAGAAAAGCTAGATGCGAATCATGGCATGGTATGGTGCAACTGGGTAGGGGCGTTTATATGGACGGACGGATGGTGGGGGCGGGTGGCGGGGGGATGGGAAAGTTGACATATGTGTATGTGTTTTTTAATGTTAAACAATCTAGCTTGGTAGGTGCTGGATTTGGTGAAATCAAGTGGAAAAGAAAAGCTCTTTGGTGAATTAGCTCTTGAGAAAATGTTGCTTAAAATGCAATGATTTGAAGCTAGATAAAACGTAAATAAAAATTGAATGATCCAATGGATGAGTAAATCTTGAAATTTCAAAGTGACGATGAGGGAAAAGGAAAGGAAAGGGAACGGGACCGGGAAAGCAAAGGATTTCATATTGATTATATATACATGAGAAATTAGATCGTCAGCCTATTTGAAGGTCTAGATTCATAAAGACTCACTTGTATATATGCAGTGAGCCGCAAAGACGGAACAGAATGAGGCGAGGCGAGGCGAGGCTGAAATGCGGGAAAATGGCAAGGGTTACGGCCGACTGCAACCCCCCCACTAGAACAACCAAAAATAAACAAATACTACTATGATGAGTCAATGATCAAATTATTTAACACTTCCATATATCTTCCAATCTAATTACACACAATTGATTGTTGAATTGAAAAGATAATTTGATAAAGGGGATCGATTTATTATCAGGTATTCATCGCGCTACGAACTGTAATATTCGAAGTACTATACCGCCGCATCGAAAGAGAGACTTTCAATTTCCGAAAAAGAAGCAGACAAGCAAACGAATATGGCACAATCACATCCCTCAAAACCCACCAAAAATGCTGGAGGGGTCGGGGGTAAGGGAGCGCAAGGAGGGGCTAAAGGCAAAAAGGGTTCTTCTGCAGGTGGAGGGGGAAAGAAAGAAGATGAGAGGGAGGAGACATTGCAGGCTGTTGTGCTTGCGGATTCGTTCGAGACGAGGTTTAATCCCTTTACACTGGATACTCCGAGATGTCTATTACCTCTAGCGAACACTCCTCTCATCGAATACACTCTCGAATTTCTCGCCATGTCGGGCGTCGCAGACATCTACATATATTCCGGAGCACACACCGAAAAGGTCGAACAATACCTCCAAAACTCCAAATGGGATCCACAGAACTCGCCCTCGTCACCTTTTAGCAAACTCATCATTATCAAAACTACGGCTCATTCGGTGGGTGATGCGATGCGAGATTTGGATTCGCGGAATTGGATTACTGGGGATTTCCTCCTGGTTCATGGGGATTTGGTCTCGAATCTACCGATTGGTGCTGCGTTGGCTGCACATAGAGCGAGGAGATATGCGAATAAAAATGCTATTATGACCATGGTTTTGAGGTCGGGTGGATTGGGAGATCATCGAACAAAGTCGAATGGTATTACACCTGTATTTGTCTTGGATCCTACTAAGAATCGATGTCTTCATTACGAGGAGATGAATCCCCTTCAATCGAATAAATATCTCAGCCTCGATCCGGATTTACTTTCAGAAAATTCCGAAATAGAGATTCGAACGGATTTTATCGACTGTGGTATTGATATTTGTACACCGGATGTGTTAGCATTATGGGCGGAATCTTTCGATTACGAGGTACCTAGGAGGCACTTTCTACATGGAGTGTTGAAAGATTATGAGTTGAATGGAAAGACCATTCATACGGAAATTGTAACGGATCATTATGCAGCTAGAGCATCCAATCTACAAGCGTATGAAGCTATAACCAAGGATGTCCTAGGGAGATGGACATATCCTATTGTTCCAGACAGCAATTTAGTCGCAGGACAAACATACAAATTCCAACGAGGTGGATATTGCAAAGAAAATGGTGTTATACTAGCTCGAACATGCAAGATTGGTAAGAGGACAGTTCTGGGGGCAGGTACGAGTGTAGGAGATGGCTCTACGATTGTCAATAGTACTATTGGTAGGGGATGTCGAATTGGGAAGAATGTCACGATTCAGAATGCCTACATATGGGATGATGTAGTCATTGGCGATGGATCGTCTGTGAATATGGCAATTATTGCCAACAATGTTTTGGTTGGACAAAAATGCAAGATTAATGAAGGATCGCTTCTTTCATTCGGTGTTCGCATAGCTGATGGGAAGGAAATTATCAATGGATCACGTATTACACGGGGACAGAAAATAACGGATGACGATGATACATCAGTGCCTACACCCACTGATCCAAAAGTTGTCGGAGATGGCGGAGAAGGGTATGAATTTATCGATGATGAAGAATTCGAAGATGAAGAATCCAGCGCCTTTCATTCTAGTCTCATATACTCAACCCAACATCTCAACATCTCCAGCGAATCTATCTCGACCATCTCATCTGAAGTATCTGCCGGCGAAATCGATACTCGGTCCCGTCACTCCAGTTTCGCAGGTTCCATCTCTGATGATGAACATGGCCAAGGTTTCTCGGAAACTTTCCACCACGATGCTGTTCAGGGGCTCTTAGATACTCTCAGAGAAAACGGTGATTTCGACAGCGCAAAATTAGAGTTTATGGGTCTCCGACTCAGCAACGACGCTGACGATTATCAAATCCGTCGAGCCATCGGAGCCGCATTTACGAAATTCATTGCGGAATTAGTGACCTCCGGAACTAAAAATGCAAGTGAAGCAACCGTTCAAGCAATAAATGTAGCCGGGGCGCAAAAATTCTTGGAAGAAGTTGCCATTGGCATTGAAAAGGAAGAGGCGGGTATGAAAGAATTTCTGATTTGTTTGCAGAAGGGATTGGTGGGGAAACAGAATGGGGCGGCGGTGATGGCGAGTTTGTGTCAGAAATTGTATGAGAGGGATGTGGTGTCAGAAGAGGCAATTTTGGCTTGGTGGGGG